TATAAGAAACTGAGTGAGTACAAGTTTGATTTTACTTTGCTTAGCTGGGGTTAATACTTTGGGGGAGGGGAGGTGGGCATTTGGGACAATTTCATTTGTAATTGCATGATCTGAGAGGCTTTATGTACCTAAAATAGGAGTGTCTGAGACAGGAGTAGGATGTACACTGCAGAATTTTGGACATCCCATACAGAATGCATACTGGCTGAACAGGAATGACCTCATTAGATTCCAGGTGCGTGAGTCTGAGCCTAGCTACACTAACATTAGTGAGGTCCCATTCAGGCCCCAGTTCTTCATGAACTCAAAGGGTTCCTGAGAAGACTTTGCATAACATCAGCCAGCCCAAGAAATGTGACTTAAGAACTATAATAAAATAGCTACGCAAATAGAAAGCTATTAGAATCTGTCGTCTTCCTCACTGATAATTGTTGAGAATACAACTAATTCCTGCATCTTAGTCTGAAAGTAGCTACAAATGTAGTCATAAATGACTTCCACCTTTCCACGTTAATATCTCATTGCAGCTACACTAACTGTAGGGGTTTTCTCTCTGGCCAGGATACAAGTGCAACTTTTTGGAATTCTTTGTGTTGGTGCTTTCATTACAAGCTTTGTTTCCTTCCACAACAGCTTTGCAATCTCTCTGTGCACCATATACGATCACCTGTTTGTACTGAATTTCTTTGCAGACACATTGTGCCACATCCTCAGTTAGCTCCATTGACTTGAGTCAATTTGCACTACACCTATTGACCCCTGCTGTGGTCTGGCCTTTTTTTTTCTTTTTCTTTTTTCTCAGCACTCTGAGAGAACCAAAGAAATTGAAAGGATAGAAAGTGATCTAAAATATAATTTTAGAAATTGAATAGGTTTGAGAGAGGGGAGGAAGGTGAAGTTATTGGAAAGATGCAAGTTCCAATCACCAAGTCGATTACCATTGTATTCTCTTCATACTTCTATATCAGCAGTTCAAACCCAGCCGCAGGTCAGGAGTGGCCAAAAGTGGTTATTACTTGATGGTGATGTGCTTGCCCACATGAATGCATTGGTGTTCTCTGTGCAGTGTTTTGTGGAGTGGTTTCACAAAAACCACCATTAGCCTACAATTTCAGCAGAGAAACCAAGGACTGAATGAGCATATAGAATGAAACAACCTTCTCCTGGCTAGAGGTGATCCCTCCAGTTCAGAGTTGAGATCCATTGGTGAGGTAGGCTGGGGAAGTCTGCAAAGCTGCTGCCTGGGCTGCATTTATTTAATTAGATTGTGGTCTCAATCTGGCACCTTCCATGAAGACTAAGAATTGATTGAAAAGAAATTGAACACGTAAAAAGGGAATAATCTTCTCTTGTGACCAGGAACAAAGTTTAGCTAGAACGTCAAAAGTCATACAGCAGATTAGTGATGACAAACCCTAGGTAGAGGCATGGGATAACAACAATCTTAGGACATTACTAATAGAGCCTGCCGCAAATGTGGTGTTGATGCATTTGGGCATGCCTGGTGTTTTGACATTCCTTGTAAATGACTTAGTTGTCATAAGGTTACTGACGCTGAACAATGATGCAACAGTTTCATGTTACCACTAAACAAGTCCATCATTTCAATAGCAGGGAGTATGTCAGATGAAAATTGAAGTGGATTGGCAGAGCTGTATGGGGAAACTTCCCCAGCACCCTTACTGTACCATACGTTACAGCCAGTATTCCTAGTTCTTTTTTTTTTTTTTTTTTTTTAAGAATCAGGCCCAGAATTTTCATGTGCTATTTGTAACAAATACACACAATCTTCTCCCACAAGCTTTTAAGAATTATGGGCCTGATCCTGATGTCACTTACACTGGTGTCATTCCATTGGCTTCTCAAGTTACTCCTTATTCACACCAGTGTGAGATTAAAATCTGACCCACTGGGTAAAAGATAGCTAAATTAATCAGTACTCTTACAGAACAGATCTTGTGGGAGGCAGACGTTGCTCACCGCCTAACATACCTCTTAATTTGAAAGCCCTAAGGATAGACAAATTTGTGCCAAATATCTAGTCTGATAGAGAAATTTTCTGTAATATTTTTATGAAGTTTGTGTATGCCTCAGTTTCCCTCATTCGTTGCATTGCTACTCACTAGGGGCAAAAGGTTTAACAAAAAAATGTTTTGACATTTTCACAATGAAGTGGTTTTTTTAGTTTTTTGGTTCAAAACAACTTTGTTTTGGAGTTTCTTTTAATTTTCTTAAACAACAAAATAATTTTAAAATGGATGA